GGGGGGGGGGGGGGGGGGGGGGGGGGTATCCCAGAAGGGGAACACGCAGACGGCGTGCGTGCTCCCCATGAACTCGCCCACCGACGCCGAAGGCCCTCCCTTATCCCTTGGACTTTTCCACCAAAGAAACACCAAGGACAAAAAACCGCCGCAACACGCAAACCTTGTAAGCCAACCACAGCTGGCGCTCCTCCCGCTGCTCCTCGATCGAGTCGGCGTCGTGGCAGGCGATGGTGTCTTCCGTCGTGGGCATGGACGAGTGGAAGAGCGGCCAAAGGATGGTCTTGCAGAAACCCTCGTAGAACCTGTCCTCCATCGCGGCATCCTATTCGCGAGTAGGATGTAGGAAAAAAAAAACGTCCGGTTCGGGTTGCGTGATCCCGTGTGTGTGATGATCGATGGGTCTAGCTATTGAAACTTGTCGCGGTGCTTGCATTGGTTGGTATGACCTGCGCAGACTTTAAATAAGACCGCGAAAATGATGGGACAAAAAGTGAGCCACGAAAACCACTGCAAATAAACGCACGTAGCGGCCGTTAGGAAAAGAAAAGGTTGGGTGTCGGTCGCACCTTTTCGTCACAAGCGACACGCACCCCCGCAGACTCCCCGCCTCAAGAGCCAAAAGCACACTGGGGAGTTGAGTGCCTCTTATGGCGCACGCAAACACACCAACGTGCCTCTCTGGCTCTTGGTCTCATACACTTTTCAAGAAATGTAGACTATCCATATTGTGGTCGACAAAGCTGCTCAACGCACTGGTGAGCAAATGAAAACAAAGAACCAAACAAGACAAGACTCTTGAAAGCACAACGAAACGCTCTTTGTCGAGTCCTCTCCTCGCTTTTGTAATTGGATGCTTCGTGAATACATCGCTTGCTTTTGGTTGTTTGCCGTCCTCACCAGAAATATCGGCACAAGGCGTCGGTCCTTGAGCTGGTCCGTCAGGCTGCATTCCCGACCGGGCTCCACGTACGTTCCGGGCCACCCCACCCAAATGCATTCCATCTGGGAAGGACGTTAAAGGAGGGACGGGATAGGGGACGGGGACTGTACTTGTTCATGTATATCACCTTCGTCCCATTTACGAGACGAGGCTGCACAGCCATTGTTCCTACGAAGTACTGTTACTCCCGGAAAAGAAAGACGGTGTTGGCGAGCGGAAATAGCTTCGACAATAAGCGACAACAACGGCTGTCGTAGTCAGAGCAGCGGCCGGCAACTTGAAGACGAGGTTGCTTTTTCTCGTCCACTGCCAGTCAGCACCCAGTCCTCCCCAAATCGTGGACCAACCTGTGACGGAAGAAAAATAATGTTCCCCCGATAGCACTCAGTGTAATCCTCGGAGTAGCCACAGAAGCGGCCGGTCATCGGAAAACAAGAGGTTGCTTTTCTCCGCCGTCCGTGCCCACTACTCACCAAACCACGCAGTGCGCCACCCTGTAGCGGAAGATGCACTGCCTTACTCTGTAGTCACTGCTGCAACACCAACTACTCACCAAATCGTGCACCACCCTGTAGCTCTGCAGCGCCTGGTCCGCCTTCGGGATCTCCGTCGTCCACCGGCCAGATGGCGTCATCTTGTGCATTTTCCGCCAAAACAAAAACAAAAACAAAAAACAAAAACAAAAACAAGGTTTCGAAAAGGTTCGGAGGTCGGCAAAAAAAAAAAAAGACGCGAATCACAGATAACTTACTCTGCATAGTTGTAGAGGAAACGCTGATTTGTGGTTGTGTACGTGCCCGAAATTGTTGGCGATGGAGCACTTTGCGCCAAACTCTACGCACATGATCCACGACCACCACGACCACCATCACCAATAAAAAAAAAAAAGCTCTGAAATCCGTCACCCATTTTGGTGTCGCGTTACAAACACTATCCCGTGCAAAAAAAAGACCCCAAACACAACAAGGAAGAGGCAGTGAAAAACAAAACAAAAAATTCGAAGCCCCCAAAACAATAAGAACAATGCACGCAGAATTTGTAAACCTCATGTTAAGCTTTCTTTTTGGTTCGTGGAGGTTTGCTGTGCTCTTTCGAGTCAATACACGCCAGATGTGCGAGCTGCTTAGCTTGGGCAAGGGCAGCAGTTGGCAGCCAGCTGTGGGCTGGTCCTGTTGTGCCTGCATTCATTTTTCATTTTTGCGTCACCCTTTCAAGACACTCTGTGCTCTCATGAGCAGACTCCGGAGGCATCACATGTACAACTCGCAAACATCTGCAGATGGCCATGATCAAAGGGGGTCACAACTCCACATCGCCCTCCTATTCATACCTGCACAAGACCAAACACACTCACAAGCAAATACGGCAAAAAAGCACACCCGGCAGAAAACGAACCCGCCTCCCAAAACGGCAAAACACACACACACACACACACACACACACACACACACACACACACACACACGAACGACCCAACGGCCGCGATGCGAACAAGACTGGGGGCCATACCTGAAGCTTGTACGGCAGCCTGCGGGAGACGAGGATTATCCGCGGCCGCCCCGTGGCGCCGTTCGCGCCGTCTTGGCCCCCGGGGCGGGCGGCGTCCTGCTCGTCCCTAACCTTGGCAAGCTTCTTGTACATCGTCTGGAGCGGTTGTGCGGCGTACGCGAGAGTGAGCCGGCAGGAGAGGGGGTGGGGAAAGTTGTCGGAAGGGTGGTGGATGGTTGGGAGCCGTCTTTAGGAGCTGTTCGGCCTATTCCGCCGCTTGGCCAGGAAAATCACGTGGTGTGCTTTTGCATCGGGGCACGGCTAAATTTTGGGGGATATCATTTATGCAGCATAACAGGTTCTGCCATGTTGTGCAAAGGCACGGCAGGGGGGTTGCTTAAGGCAGAGGCCCCATGCCAGTAATAGGGAATGATACAAGGAACAGAAAGCTAGGAGAGGGTTGGGGTGTGGCATGATTGCGGCCAACAACCCGTGCTGTGTTAAGAGTAAAGGGTGTTGTCGCGCTCTGGCTCCGAACTTGGGGGCCTTCACGGGGACAACAACTACCCAGATTTCGCGGCGAGAACCAGCCGACAGACAAAACAGGTTGGAGTTTATAAACGCCTTCTAAACACGGGGCACACGCCAGCATGTGGGAGAGCTCTTCCCGGAGGAAACGTCGTACCGTGCCAAGCAGCTGTGACGCAATTATGCATGTACGAAGGATGCCTTGGCACTCGGTGCCGTCAGGGTAATCGGGGCATCCACCACCTACACTTCTTTTTCGTGCATTCGACAAAACCAAATGGGGGTGACGCGACCGGCAAAGAAGAGAGCGACGGGGTGGGGGGTGTACTCAAAGTCGTGCATGCCGTAGTCGTTCGACCATTGACCTCGCATCCCTACAAAGCCGGGACGGAGCNCTTCCTTGCGTACGGATGACAGCTGCGTATGACTTAATTTATTTTCTGGTGCTTTCACTTCCAGAGACAGTTGTAAGCGCTGTGAAACTGCCTCGAGGGTGCTTGACCACTTTAACACATCGTGGTGCGATCATCCCCCTTGCGCGGAGTGAGGGTTCACCCCGCACTACATGATCTACTCAACCATCATTATGGTTACCGCCCAAAAAAAATAAACGGAGGAAAAAAAAAAGAACGGTAACCTGGTTGCCGAGTTCACGAAGTGAATTGGCTTGTTTGACAACGTCGTTGCCAAGCGACGAAAACCCAATCCCGATAGGNNGAAAAAAAACAAACGGTAACCTGGTTGCCGAGTTCACGAAGTGAATTGCCAATCCCGATGGCAAACACCGGGGACGACGAAAACCCAATCCCGAT